TTTTTTCGTTTTTTTTTTTTTTTTTTTTTTTTGTGTGATCTGATCATGTGTACCAAGAGAGAAGGGACTTTAGGTTCTGGACCTCTTGACTCTTTCATGGGTTTTTCTTTTCGTTCTTTTTTCCTGGTATGTTCCTTCCCTATGCAAAACCAACTCCATTCTTTCATCCCTCTGGGAGGTTAAAATCCCTAGGAAGGTTAATTTTAGTGTGGCTGGTTTTATAGGGGAATGCCAATACTGTATACCTTATTTAAAGACACTTTTCCTTTGTGTTGCTCCTGCAAAGGTGCATCCTTAGTTAGCAGAGTTGGGGACCCGTCCCGAATGGGGTGGGAATCCCCATTTAAATGGGGAAAGGGGATGGAGTGAGGAGAGATTTTTCTCCGTTAGCTAAACGGGGCGAGGGACGGAGATTATTTAAGTATGTGACACAACGCTGTCTTCTAACATGATTTTTTTCCCTGCTTTAATCATTATTCACAGTAACAATATGAGTGGAAGCCCTCAATGGGACGATCGCCTCATGGATTCTTTGAAAAACTTTGATCTTAGCAGCCCCGAAGTTAAGCAGCAATTTGGTCAGTCAAGTCGATCTCTTTGATTTTGTACATTTTGTCAATGGTTATATCTTGGGAGTTAAATGGCTTGGTTGGATTTGCTGTGCATCAAATATTTCATATATGTCTGAAATGTTGATAGTATTTTTTATTTTCTATGACTGTTGCAATCATATATTCCCACTCTTAAAAATTATGGACCAACATTTTGTTGTTTTTCTTTTTTGTCAAAATAATTTATAAGCTTAGAAGTCCGTAAAGTTGGCTTCAGTTTTGGTTTTCTGATGCCGATGTCATTCTCTCTTTTCACTGAAATTGATTTAAATATATTCTTTGAAATTTAGTTTCAATAAGATTCATGAATGCTTCATTTAGTATATCTATATGTTTAGGTGAGTTACTTGATTCCTGTTTAGAAATGAGATTTTGAAACAAATTTTATGTTTTTAAGAATAAAAAACTGTTTTTCTGTTTGGAAAACTTATTTGGCAGAAAACTCCCCTCATCCCCCACACGCGCACAAAAACAAAAAATAAAAAAATAAAAAAATGCAATAGTAATATACGGGCTTACTCTTTATTTCTGGAAACTTGACAGATCAAATTGGGATGACACCTGAAGAAGTTATTTCAAAAATGATGGCCAATCCTGAAATCGCAATGGCATTCCAAAATCCAAGAGTTCAAGCAGCCATCATGGATGTATGCTCTACTTGAGGTTTATTAGTTTTTGGTTCAAACATAACATTCCTATTTTGCTTTTTGCAGTGTTCACAAAATCCACTGAGCATAACGAAGTATCAAAATGACAAGGAGGTACGTTAAATTGATATTGCATAATATTGCATATTGTTAGTATGTATTTTTAGTTAGCACGTTCATTCTCAGCTTCACTTCATGCCTTTCTAGTTTTGTTCACATCAATTCTATTTAGCAATAATGGAACAGTCAATTTCTGTTGTGGTATATGGTCTGTAGATTTGTCGTTTAGCTGGATGATGCTGTTCGTCTTATTCAATTCATGCTGACGAAAGTTTCGTCAGTTAAAAAGAAGATAAAAAGAAAATAAAAACAGTACTTTTCATTCCTTTTTGTTGCCAATTTGAGTAATACTCAACCGATTAAGACATGTATCTCTTGACTAGGAGGTTGGAGATTAGAATTCCCTGCCCTCACGTTGAAAGCCTTGAAACAAAAAAAAAAACTAAGCAATAAATTGTTTCAGTTGTCTTTGTTAAATGCTTGATGTAATATTTTTGGACTTATATTTTCTCCTCCTGCAATGAGTATTGATTTCCGTTGCCTTATTTCCTTAGAAAGTAACAGTATGATATCACTCACTCAAGCTCATTTCTTTCATTCTTTTCTTTTTTTTTTTCCTTATTGTCCTTTTAGGTTATGGACGTTTTCAATAAGATATCAGAACTATTCCCCGGGGTTTCTGGAGCACCATGATAGTTGTAGCCTATTTTAATTATTGATTAGTATATGACAAGACGTGACTCGAATATGGAAGATTGAGAGCATGCTTCCCGTCCCATTGCAAAATAAGTTGGGGAAGTCATCTTCCTTTTCGAAATGAAGTTAGCTGAGTAAGGTCTCACCTGCTTCAATTACAAGAATTATATTGGAATTTTTGGGTGAGTTAATTCTTTTTCCCTTTCTTAAACTATGTTTTTCTGTGTATTACTATTTGGAGATCATGAATTTCTTTTAAGTTCCTTGATATATTAAGCGAGGCAATGTAATTTATAAGTAATTTTGGCGTATTCCTATTTGACTCAATTGAATGACATCATTGGAAGGATTGCTGAGTGATGTATATTTTGACTTACCCTTTCTTCCTGATTGATGGGATCATCAACTGGCAAATATGAGCTGTGCTATAGTATGTTGGAGCCCTTCAACGGATCAGGATGAAGACAAAAAATACTTTTGAATTTTGTCATTTTGACATGTTTACTTCATAATGAAGATTAATGATGGGCAGAAAGGCTTTAGGGCTCGAGAGAGCTCTTGCTTACCTGCTTAACCGTGCCACAACTCCATATTTGAAGTTGGTGCTCTTGTAAGGCTTCTAGAACAGTTTCTAGGATACTCTTCAGCTTCCTAGGTCTTGCTGTAAATTCTACCTATGTGTGCTCTTTTTCTTGTTCTTAGGTCTTCCTAGGTCTTTAGTTTGAAGAATTAAAAACATATAAATCCGAAGTTTAGGTTTCATTTTGAAAATATGGCAACGATGGCATGAAAGCCATCAACTTCAACCCTAGTATCTATATATATGCTTTTGCTATTTCTAAAATTCCTCAAATATTTTGAAAATAAAAAATAGGCAGCGGTAGACTCGGGTCGAGATCAAAATTATAATACTTTTAACCAATTAAATAAGATTCAGCTAGGCATGCTTACCTCCTAACAATCAATCACATAATCTAAAAACTGAACACAATTTTTAAGGAACAAACAAAAATCAGGAACACTAAGTTTATAGTGCCACTTTTTGGTGGTTGCTCCAAATGAAGTGAATAATCCGAATTCATAACCATAATGTGCATATGCTAGAAACGTTCAACGTGTTATATTTCTTATCTAAGTAAACGACGTACATGTATTTTTACCACATAATCTTTGAAAATGAGAGTATATGTAAGCAAAAGGAATTATGAATACAGAAGAGTTTACACACATTGATCTAATGTTGGGGCATTCCAACTGCATATTTAGTTTAGTTGCAACTTCTAAGGTAAACGTCTCCCAAACCTCGTATAATTGCCTTACAACTTCAATATTCTAGCGAACCAACAGACGGAAGCCCTGAAACATTTTCAGCTTCATTGCCACCACTGGTAAGTCGCTGACCGACGGGGTTGAAGGACTCAATTGCCTGAACCCCTAGTTTCTGAAAGTCCTGGGGAGAGAGTATCTTGATATACCAGACATTATTCACAAATGCCCTGCAACATATTCACGGTAAGCGTCTGCTAAAGTATTTTCAAACTATATAACATTACATGCAAAATTAGCGGACGGTAGATGAATGAACATGATTCAATTCAGAATATAGGTAGATGAATGAACATGATTCAATTCAGAATATAAACTAAACAAAAATCTTCGTCTCAGAAGTCGATACCAGTCGAGAAAGCCATGTGCTTTTTGGTCTCTATCATAGAAAAGCTTTAGAGATAAATTGGGGGGGGGGGGGGGGGGGGGGG